TCACATTCCTACATCCATTCTCTGATGCGATGACAATCCGTTTTGTATTTTCATCAAGTGATCCTTCTTTGAAAATGTTTCGATCACACAGACTCTCCTGATTGTCAGACTTTGTGCTTCATCTGGTTGCTATATCAATGATACGCTTGCTCTTATTCTAACATTATTATTATTATTATTATTATTATTGTTGTTGTTGTTGTTGTTATTATTATTTATCAGCATTACCACTATCCAACTAATGTATTTTTTTCTGTGAAAGTTACTAAATTGATTCACTAAAGACACTAATACCATTACCTGTTCAGCCTCACTTAATTATTATCTGCAATTCTTGTTTTTCTTGTTAAATTTTTTTAATTATCACTTCAATGTTCTTCTTAGTGGATGCCAAAGTGTCAGCAACAGCACTGCATGTGACGAAATCTATTGACACATTCTACATTCCCAAAAACATGTTTACAATTTTTATCTGTACACTGGTTTCATCCATCCTCTCTCTCTCTCTCTCTTCTCTCTCTCTCTCTCTCTCTTCTCTCTCTCTCTCCACCTTCTTCATCAGACTTTCGTTTTTCTCAGTTTCTCTTTATTCTTCTTTCCTCCCGTCCATTCTCTGGAGTCGGAATGTGCACCGTGCAGCTATATTTCTATTCCCACGATATTTACATTGGGTGTTTATGTTTCAATGTGTGCATTTGAGCATGTAATATTTTTTGCGGTTGAAATATCTGTAAAACGTACGTACGCATCTTTTTTGTCTGTGTGTGTGTGTGTGTGTGTGTGTATGTGTGTATTATTATGTGTGTGTGTGTGTGTGGTGCTTGTGTGTGTGAGTGTGTGTGTGTGTTTGTGTGTGTGTGTGTGTAACGAAATGTGCATAGGCGGGAAAAAGTGGTTAAAATCTTAATTAGATAAACACATCTGTAACATAATTAGATATATAACGTTTTTATTCACGTTAGCAAATATAATGTAATGTAATGGAAGGTGATGTGATGTGATGAGGTGTAATGTAATATAATGTAGCCTCATACAAAGTGTTGTCATGTAGTATAATAAAATATGAAATAATAACAGTCATAGCAAGCAGGTGTTGCTATGAGTTTTGAGCAAATGTTTTGTGGAACTCAATTGTGGCCGTACTAAAACGATGTTATTTCGGTCCTTACATGCTGCATCCTATATTGATTGTTTTTTTTAATCATTAAAAGTTTATTAATCGTCAGACCATGATTATTTCAAAATTTTCACGCACACATACACACACACACGCACACACATACACACACACACGCACACATGTTACATGCATGGCATCCATACCATAACTTCCGACAACCAGCTTTCGAGGTGCAACCAGGAACACTATGTAGGATGATGAATTAACAAGAGCAACAGGGTGCACCACTCTTCATTAGCTGACCAAACAAACAAAGCAGCTACCACACCCACCAAATCACATCCTATACGCACGTATATACGTGAACACATACACACACACACACGGTGTGACTGTGTTTAGCATTTAGCATAAGTGATTTTCGAAAGCATATTTGTGGAAACAGATCTGGGCACTGATAACCACTCTCTTGATAACCAGGTTCGAATCCAGTTGAAATCTCAAAAATTATTATCATCGGTTTTATGAACATTGAACATTTATAAAGCACCATTTTAAAGCTGCCTCAGAGGAATGAAAAAAAATAACGCAGACAACTTTGAAAAACTAACCGTGTGTGTGTTGGTGCGTGTGTGTGTGTGTGTGTTGGTGCGTGTGGGTAGTGTTGGTGCGTGTGTGTGTGTTGGTGCGGGTGTGTGTGTTGGTGCGCGTGTGTGTGTGTGTTGGTGCGTGTGTTTGTGTGTGTTGGTGCGTGTGTCTGTGTGTTGGTGCGTGTGTGGGTGTGTCTGTGTGTGTTGGTGCGTGTGTGTGTGGGTGTGTGTGTGTTTTTTATTATATATTATTGTTATAATATTCGCTGTCGTAACCGATTTACGACGCGACGGGTTCAAATCTTCGATTGAATAAAATACTCCAAACAGTTATTAGTTATTAAACTTTATTTACAGAAGAAATCAACTAATCGTTTATTTCTAGCAAATTCAAATTAACGCAACAATTAACTTTTAAATTGTTCAAAATCTATCGCTATGACAACGTCAACAAACAAATCAAATATCGCTTTAAATAATTCACCGAATCGCTATTTACAAAATCACGAATTTCACTAATCGCTAATCTTCTTGCGACGTGCGCTTATATACTCTTCGCAAGCGTCGTTTCTAGATTCTTCTAGATGGTCCGATTCTAGCATACTCTAGAATGCTCCAGTCACTAGAACATTCTAGAATACGCTAGAATCTAGTGCGTTCAGTAGCACGGTTATAACATTATTATATATTTATTTTATATTACACACAACATAACACCCCGGAAAAAGATATTAAAGCCAGAGATGAGCCGGTTGGTAACTTCAGCAACACTGAGAGACAAATGTTTGAGGATTTCAATTGTAAATAAGATTACTAGAAAAAAAGCTTCTTGCGTTTTGTTCAACAACAAAGATGGAAATTTATTTTCATAAATTTTATAAATTCGCTAAGTTTTCCGGAATGTATCAAGAGTTTGAAAAAAAAATGTGATTCTATTTTCTAAAAATGATTTTGCAAGTTCGTATTGTTTAAAAGATGCACGTCTTTAGCGATACGCAGTCATCTTGAACAAAATAATAGAGGCTTGCAAACGCGCCGTGCAAATATTTTTATATTTTAAAGTGGTTCTCTTTTCAGTATGCCTAAGCAGTGTGATGCGAAGTGTTTAGCCGAGTACAATAATGCAAACATTTATATTCTTATCATTTAAGTACATTTTAACACATTAACATGGAATAATTTTACAAGGAAAACAACAACACTAACTGGTTTTTAATGTTTTTTGAAATATCTTTCGTTAAGTTGTGGTATTTAAGCAAAAACGAAGGCAAAAGTTAAAAAACTAGTCTGGTAGTCGGAACCGGAAAATGTTCAATCGAGGAGTTGGAGTCGCCTTAGACACTCCGCAAAAATGTATTGTGTGTACTTCATGAATTGATGATTTGCAGTGCATAGATTGATGGTTTATAATGCTTGAATTGATGGTTCATAGTGCATGATGGTTCAGTGTGACCGTGTGATTATTTGTCATCGCATCCAGCAATTATTAAGAAGAACTGACACTTCATTCATCGTTTCGTTCTCGACTAGTTTTCAATATATGTGTGAATGAATGATTTTTGATTTGGTAGCCATGGTACATGGTGTTTTATTAGTTCAACGACATTTTCATGTAACTTATGGAAGGTTCAGGGAGAGTTTTTAGTTTGGAGAAAAATTATTGAGAGCTAACTTATTTACTTGTTCCTTCAAATTGCTTCCAGTTACAACACTAATCATACGACCAGGATTGAAACGAGCCTCGCTAACTCCAACAGAAACATTCATTAAAAACTTTCAACATTGCCAACAATGTCGTTCATCAATTCTGTGTGTGTGTGTGTGCGTGTGCGTGTGTATGTTTAAGAAGGAGAGAGAAAGACAATAAGTAAGTTAAGTAATTACTATAACCCAATACCTACCTTATGGTTGTAACTGAAGATGAATGGATGAACAATGAAATCGATAACTAAAACAAACGAGCAAAACGAACGAACAAATAAACGAACGAACAATTGAATGAAGGAAAGGCTGGATTGGTGAATGAATACAAGAATGAACGAGTGACGGAATGAATGAATGAATGAATGAATGAACGAACGAATGAATGAACGAACGAACGAATGAATGAATGAATAAATGAACGAATGAATGAATGAACAAACGAACGAATGATTGAATGAATGAATGAACAAACAAACGAATGACCACCCGTCAGTGAACTTCCCCCATCCACCGACAAACATCACCATTATTCCATTCGTGTACCACGTGAGACTGACGTGGTTGCCTGCATACGACAGTGGCTTCCCGTTGCATTACGTCATCTGGTTGGTTTGTTGGTTGGTTGGTTAGTCGGTTGGTCGGTCGGTCGGCTGGTTGGTTGGTTGGTTAGTTAGATGATGGATTTATTGATTAAATAATTGATTGGTCGGTTGATCATTTAGTTGATTGGCTCATGGTTAACAGGTTAGAAATAAAAATAGTTACAGCCGCAATCACAATACATAAATATTTGAAATTAATCGGGTAAACTGGTCAATTTCATCAATTTTTATCATTCCAATTCGTTAATATGAAATTTACTTTTCAACTGACCTTTCAAGGTTTCGAACTCTGACCGACACGGACTCGCCAGTGAGGTTCGGCCAGTGGACGACGCTAGCAGTCATGGAGCCAGAAAATGCGACAATGGACATTTACAACTTGATTGATGACACGCATTATCAATTCGCCATTCTATCGAGGAATCAGATAGGCGGAATGATGTTCAGTGAAATTGTTTTAGCCAAGACTTTGTGTATGTTGTTGTGATTTAGTGCTGTGGTCATCTGGTGTTGTTGTTGTTGTTGGTTGGTGTTGTTGATTTTGTTGCTGTTGATGTTGTGCGTATTGTGATATTAATGTTGTCTGTGTTGTGTGGATGTAATATTAAACGTTATTAATATTGGATTCGAAGTTTGTTTTAATGATTGTTGTGCTGCTGTTGTAAACCTTTTTATTTTTATGTACGTCAATTTTTTTTTAAATTATTATTATTTATTATATTATATTATTTATTATTATTTTTATTACGATCGTTTTTGTTCTTATTATTGTGCGTGCTGTTGTTGATGATGGCGTTGATGTTTTTATTGCAGTTGTGGGTGTTTTCTGCCTGCTTTATGAGGCTCTTCGTTTTGTTGGCCAATTGGCGTTTCAGTGTTGTCGTGGTGTTGCGCATTGTTGATTGCATTTTTTTTACATTTTCGTTTACGTTGTTATTGTTGTTGTTGTTTACAACATTAATAAAGTATCGCCTTATCAGTGCCTCCTTGTTCGGTGATACTTAATTGTTGGCGACATTCAAATGTTGATGATAACATTAAAAAATGAGATTTGTGAAAATAATTTTCTTGTCTGAATACACTTCTAGCTACAAAAACACAACTCGTCCGCAGCTAAAATACAGACGACGACGATGAAGAGTACGACGACGACGACGATGATGAGACCGACGTTCGCTAAGATGACGATAACAACGATGACGACATTCAACAGCGACCAACAGATGATGGCACATAGCGACGGTATGTTGATTTATTGTATTAATTTCATTCCTCCATAAACATGGCTTTCTCTTGTTTATTTTTTCTCCGCCGGGTATTTTTTATTGGAAGCGCATTAGTTTTAGGCCGGGGAACGACCCACGTGTTTCCTCCGGCAGAACAATTTTCAATTCACTAGCATAAGCTTTTTATGGTTTTGATGAAACATATTGCGTTGTTTATACAACTCCAACATTTGACAGGCCAAATGAAACAATTATTAAACTTAATATTTGATTTGAAATTAATTTTGCTTTAATAGTTGATACAGTACAAGTTCCAAAACCGACGAACTTGTCAGCTCATTTTGTGAAGAACCACCTGATCATCACATGGCACCTACCTCCAACAAACTACATCCTCCATACCTTCACATATCATTTCATCCTGCAATATAAAACAATCACTCATTGGTTAACGTTGGCCGATGACCTGAAGATAACCAGCTTCAATTGGACCACAGTTTCTAGGGACATCACGTACTACTTCAAAGTGGCAATGGTCGTTAAAATATTAAGCACCAACGAGATCATTAAAGGAAACTTCAGTGACGTTTTCATGTACTACACCGGAGGTTACTTCGCATCAAAAAAAAAAATTTTAAACAAATATAAAACAATAATACAAAAAATTAAATATTCCAGTCATAATTTATAGAACTGTCGACGAATGAAAAATGTTAACGTTTAGATCCGATGATAGGAAACAGCAGCTTGTTCAGCGACCAGATCCTGGGCGTTGTGGTGGCTCTGTTGTTCGTCGCCTGCGTTCTTCTGCTGTTCATGTGCCTGTTCATAAAGAGGAGGTGCAAGAAGGCAATCAAAGACAAGAAGCACAAAGGCAATCATTTCTTTCATTTTCAAAACATCGTCAAAACAGTTTTTATGCGCGTTTAATGTTTAATTTTCAAGCAATTTCTAATCAAACATTTTAGAAGACACGCTAACTACGATTGTGCTATGAGCATATTCTCACAGTAAATTTTATATTTTGATCATTCAATAATAAAATTTTTTAGATGAACTTCAAAATTTAACTTTTTTCTTCAAAGTTCGTTAGTCAAAGCTTTTTTGCCGGAGTTTTCATAGGAACTCCTAACACCCCAGAATCCAAAATAAATTTTCCAATTATATTATATCCCTGATCCAAACATGACTCTGCATAAAAGATATTGCCACCAACGATAGTTAAAAAATGAATCAATTTTTAAAAAATGTTGTGAAGGTCGAATGTGTTCATCGCACGCACTGCACCACCACAACGATTGCACGAGCAACATCACGGAAAGTGAATCACTCTACAAACCGAACATCACGAGAATCAAAGAGACTCCTATCTGATTTACAGAACAGATAGACAAAGTTTTTTCTATTTTCTCTTTGCTTGTTGTTTTTTTAGTTGTTTTTAAAGGCATAACTATTGTCATCTTAACATCTTAACTGAGATTGTTGAGTTGAGCAATGGAGAAAAAATTGTATTAATGGGACGTAAAATAATTTTTTCTCAATTGATTTTTATAAAAATATAATTTTTATTTACAAATTATTTTATATTTTAATATTTATTATGATTAAATTTATTGAGTAATATGTTTATATAAAATGTATTTTAAAAATTTTCAGATGATGGAAAAGTGCCTCATCGACTAGACTTAATTAATTATTAATTTGTAAACTTCGTCACACCGTTGTTAGACGGACAAACGCTGTTTTCTATACAAATAAATAATACAACATCTCCAACAATCGAAATTTCATAAAACATAACGAAAATAAAATTTATGTGATAGACGTATGTTACGAGACACCCATCAAGTTGTTCAGTTACGGTTGCATTGGTTTGTATGTTCTATCAAATATAACTGTTGCATATACTGAGTTCATGTGCGAATGTATAAATGTTTGTTTTAAATTTTGCATATGTACGAGACAAGTTTTGTTCTTCTATGTAGGAAAACGTGTTTTAATTTATTCATTGCTTATCCAGAAACCAAAATCGTTCAAAATTTTTTAAAACAATTCTCTGTGTTGAATTGGAAAGCAACGTAGTTGTTTGAAGTTTCTGTTTGCTATTTGCAGAAATTCGGCTTCAGCAAATTTATTTTATCCTTGCTGATTTTTTATTAAATAAATAAAATCTGCATTAACCAGAGTCTTGAAAGGCATCATTAAACTTATAGTGTACTTGTAAAGAATTGTTAAATGTATCAGGGAGAATAACGATAAATCTTTTTTCTTAGAATGCAACTCGAGAAAAAATGAGTTGATTCTTTTTTATTTTAGATCAAATTTTTATGCTCTAAGGCTGGACGCATGACAAAATTTATATAAAACTCGGTTGGAAATACCATGTGAAAGACTAATCTGGAACAGCTAAAATCTTTTATTAATAAGGCGAGAGTACGTTCATCAACTCGTCAACAGATTTCTAAACTTGAAGTAATTCATGAAGTTAAAACAGACAGTTTTCAATTATTGAATGAACTTGCGGATCAGTTGTTAAACGTGAGTAATAAAGTAAGCCTACCTAGAATGTTTTCAATCATGCGATGTTCCCCGAGGAAGATTCCGACTCGTCTGTTGTCAAATACCAGTCAACATAAATTGAGATTTAGTTTGGTTAAACTATTTTGTTTGCCCTAACACAAATTAACATTGGATGTACAATTAAATAATTTTTCGACCCAATACAACTGGCTTTTCATGTGTAAAATAGGAAAGACAAATCTGTGTTGCCAAAATGTATATCTATAACAAACGTAAACAGAGTTGGTAAAATATTTCAGTAAAGTTACAGAAAAAAACTTAGCTCGTCTAAAAATCTACTTCTGAAGTACTTCTAGGGTGAGTTTTATAGGCTCCGATGGTCAACCGAAAAAACACATCTTCCACGTTTATCGAGTTGGAAGATGTTTAAATTGTGTAAGCCTAATTTTATATGCAACACGAAAATAGTGCATTCCAACCATTTGTATTTGATTACAAACAGTATTAAACTCTGAGGCCATATCACTTCATGACACTGAGGCGTAGACAAATTCTCTATATATTGTAAAAATTTAGACTAAAACTCTTACAGATTTCAACAATGAATTTGTGTTAAAATCGGTATAAAATTTATTGATGTTAATAGCAATGCAAACAAAATATTGTGCAATAAACAAATAAAAAAAGATCACTAACTATTTTTTAAACAAATTTAAGCCCCTCCAAAAAAAATTACTGGCTACGCCATTCTCTTGAGAAAACGATAAAATTATGTCCATTAGAACCGTTTCGGTCAAATGACATCGTCTACTTTCAGATTGATGTAAATGCCCAAAGTTGAATTTACATATACGAACCATTCGAAGCAAAATCCACAGAATGCGCGATGAATTTCAAGAGAAAAAACAAATTTGACACCAGTCTCAAATTCTTCATTACTAATTTGCCCAGATTCGTTTACATTTACTTTAGTAAGAACAATTGTGAAAACATCGTGTTATAATTACGAAACCAATGTGAAACCAAAAATTTTTTTATGTCAATTACATTTAAGTATTTCTTAACTATGTAAGTTATTAAGTCAAAAGAACGTGGTTTCATGGACGACGATTCAGCAACTTAACAATATCTAGGAAAATAGAAACATTTTATAAATATACATAGATAATAGACAAAATAAGTTGATGTTTGAAGTACCATAACGTCTCAAATGTACATATTATATGATATCAATCAATCATAAACAGTTAAATTGCATCTTCCAGCAGTTATTTAAAAAAACCTAAAAATTTAAGTTCGTGAGAAATGAGAAAAGCCTAGAAAAAAACAGGCATCTTTTATATACAATATAAATAACATGGTGAGTATGTGGAATATTATTTTTATTATTATTATTATTATTGTTAATATTATTATACAAGGTGTAATTATTCTCAAGCATTGTATAGACATATTTTATCAATTCTTTTTTTGAATTTATTTGTATATATTTTTAATAATATTAAAACTTTAAACATATTTTATCCTATATATATATATATATATACAAATATATATATATATATATATATACACAGTTGTTCAAAAAATCCACCGACGATTCAGCATTAACAAGTTTTATGGTTGATTTTCTAATATTTTGAACTAGTTCTTTACAATTAAGTCTATTCAAAATGTTGAAATCCATTTTATAATCGTTTATGATTTTAATTGTTAAAATTAATCAAGCAAGATCCCATTTTTATAATCGTTTATTATATATATATATATATATATATATATATATACACAATGCATCGTACGTATGAGGAAATCTGTTACTGACATATTTAGTGACTTATTGACCCGACGTTACTTACGTGAAGAAAATGTAAACAGAGGTTGTCAAAAGTTTAACTTTAATTTTTATTTAAAGCTTCTTTTGTACCCACCTTTTTACGTGAATAATGAAATGATGGAACCAGATGAACTTAAAGACAGATTGTACTTTTGGAGCGGTTGTAGAAGGGGCAAGCCATTACAATTGAATCTTCCGATAACTTGCATTCGAAAAGTTGCCCTCAGTTCCACTGAGGCTTTGTTTCTGTCTTCCTGTGGCAGGCTCTTCGTCTATCAGATTGTTAAGGACGACTTGCTAGAAGTCGATTCGTTGATTACTGATTATTTTAAAAGTATGATACCTACTTTTTCTTTTGTTAAAGTTAAACTGTTAAAAAACAGTTGAACAAACAAAACTTATTAACTGGTATTACTAATTAACTCTAAAACTGTTTAAAAGTTAATTAATAAATATAATTATAAAAGTAAATAAAAAAAAAATAAAAACCAGGTGTTCGTATTGATATTCAGTTCACTTAATCTTAATGTCTTAATCTTAATGTTAATCTTTCTTTTGTATGACTTTAAAAAGTTTAATTAAATTAATTAAAATATAAACTAAAAGTCTACATCATATATTTATATTATGATTATGAATGATTACAAACATATTACATACAAATAGGACAGGCATAGCATACTAATCAACAATTCAAAGTTTCACTTTTATTTTTTAAAGAGTTATGATTTTATGAACTGCTTTTAATTAATTATGATTTTTTTTTTTATTTCGAATTTTACTTTGTATTTCATAGTAGTATTTAATTGTTTTAACATTTGAATGATTATGATCATATCTGCTATCTTTCATATAATAATTGTGCAGATGAACTCTTCATTGATGTGGCTTGTGGAGAGGAGCATGCAGCAGTTGTCAGACAAGATGGTGTTGTGATGTGCTGGGGAGACAACACTCATTTTCAATGTGCTTCTTCAGATACTGCATGCAAGACCTTACCGTGTGAAGTACATTTTGGTTCTGATGTTGATCAACAAGCAGTCAGAATCATTCAAGTGGCTTGTGGTCATGTTCACACACTTTGTTTATCAGATGCTGGAGTTATTTGGGTTTGGGGGACTGGAGTTCAGTTGGGTTTGCAAAATATAACATCATGCTATATACCTCATAAATTAAATTCATTAGCTCATAAGAAGGCTGTTAAAATAATTTGTGGAGCTTATCACTCATTAGCCATTGTTTCAAATGAAAGTAAAGACTATTCACAAACAAATAATGATTCATCAAGTCAGGATTATGTCATAACTGAAGAGAATAATGAATCAACCACCAGTACATATTTTGTTAGCAGTTCCAAATATCCCAAGAAAAGCATGTATAGATCAAGCAAATCTTTATACTCTTTAAATGATGCCACTATTCCACACTCTTCCATTCCAATTTCTAATTCTGCAACTTTCAATCAAAAGCTGGAACCAGAGCCTGTAGAACATTCTAACAATGGATGTACAGAAATTAAGGAGACGTCCTCAACTTTAGCTTCCAAATGTTTTCTTTCCAAAAGTCCCATCAGTGAACTGATCATTGAAGATGAACAAGAAACTTCATTGATTGGAAAGGATGTTCATGACGTGCAATTTCATACACAAGACAATGTCAATTTTTCTGATTTGCTTTTTAAAGATGAAGATTTCAGTTCTAAAAATTTTAATGTCAATCATAATGATGTTGAGATGGACGTTTTTAATTGCGGGGAATGCTGCATAGATAAAAATAAAGTGGCCACAAAAGTTGATGATCAACAAACTTCATCACTACCTACTACTGATATTTCAGACAGCAACTGCACAAAACTGGAACCATTTTTAAACCTCTCACAGGAATCATCAGTTGCAGTTTCATCATTCCTCGATGAGTTCAAAGCAAAAGAATTTCTTCAGAAGCAGCTGGAATGCATGAATCCACTGGTTCAAGAGACTATTCCTTCTTATGGATCGGTCATCCAATCAAAATTCGAGTCAGCTTCAACAGCTGTTCGAATGCTGGCATCTTCAGATCCTCTCAGCAAACGATTTGAACACTTGCTTCAGCATGTGCCATCATCAACCGGCATCATGCAAGAGTATGTCTCACAACTCACCAAAACGGTTGCTAACAGTTTCAATACATGAAACTTATACTTGTTACTATCATGTTTTCATAAGGCTTCCAACTATTTCTAATATCCACCAATGTATTTGTCACAAATTATTTTGGTTCATACAGTTGTTTGAAAGGAAATATATTAATGATGATTAATCTTGCTTGAGATTTTTGTTGTATATTTTTTGTTACAATATATGTTATATATAATGGACTGGTATAATATTTGTCATTAGAATAATCATCTGTGTCTGGTCAACTGGGTCATTTTTTACTCCTTCCATTTTCCTCTTAACATTCACCTTCTGTCACTCAGTTTCATATCATGCAAGATCAACTCGATGAAAACAAGGTTGACATGAGGTAAACAGCTTGAACACCATCAATCACGTCAGGTGGTCTCAAACATCCGAACAACAGTAGTCGATAAGTTGGCTTCAACCACAGAACACTTGGAAGCACTGTCTGAAGGCGTGAGTGATGGCGTGAGAGTGGTGGTGAAGATGGCCAAGAAGAAATCATTTGGCAGTGAGGCAGTGGATGAAG